AAGTATGTTACAATATTCTTTTGTACAGTGGCTTCTCCAAGATTTTACCAAAACATTAAGGTACAGAAAGTGGTCTATAATTAGCAAAGTGTTCCTTGTTATTTTCTTTAAATATTGGAGTGATGACAGCTACTTTAAGCTGCTCTGGTATCATGCCACTTTGAAAGGACTTGTTGAATATGTAAGTTAGAGGATGAACAATATATGTGGATATTTTCCGGACAACCTTTGGTGGTATTCCATCATACCCACAGGACTTATTCTCTTTGAGCTGACTTGTTTCAATTTCAAGCTCTTTCTCAGTGACTGCATCTAAAAAAAGGGATTTAAATATCCCTTTGTTAAGTAGGTGGCATAGCTTTCATCATTTTTTGATAATGTTTCGCCAAATTTGGACCTACATTGATGAAGGTAGTCATTAAATTTATTTGTTATTTCTGTTGGATCATTTGCTATTTATTTAGACTTTCTGTACTTATTAAAGTAAGTTGTCGAAAATTGCCTCCGTGTGGTAACTTTCAACACTCAGTAATCACAGTCAAAATCCCGTTTATTTCACAATACTCAAAGATATACACTAGTCCCGATGTTGTTCTGAAAAAAGCTAGTCTCAAAGTAAAAACGTGTTCTAATATCGATTGCGTAACAAGATCAAATTCCAAAGATCAAATGTCCATTATAAAACTCTACATTGTGAACAAAGTGACAGAAAGCTAATTAAGTGTCAATCACGGCTTAACAGTTTCCGAAACACACTCCCCCCATATGGCTCGTTTACGAGGCATGTGTAATATCTGAGGAAACCGAGTTTTAACGAACATTAAAAAAAAAACTAAATGACATTGATCGAGTAATGCAACAAATGAAATGTTCGGTTCAAAGTTCAGTCTATATGAGTGTCTCAAATTCAATGTTCACTGGTCATCATTACCAATGTCTAGGATACGTAACTCTGCTGCAGCTGATGCATCCTGTCTGGACCGGAATAGCGGCGCGGTAGGGTTGAGAGGTGTTGCGTCATTTGATCTGTCGCACAACAATTCCAGGGGGTACAAATGTTGTATGGCTCTCTCCAGGACGGTCTTCTGAGTTCGCACCTTAGCTGCACAAACTACGCCATCACGTTCCGCAATTAGCTTCTCTATGATCCCAAGTGGCCAGCAGTTCCGGTTTCGTTCTTCTGACTTCAATATCAGCACATCCCCTACTGACAGAGGATTCTTTGAATTTCCATACTTCAGGTGATGTCGTTCTAGTAGTGCTTGTTGATATTCAGAGGACCAACGGCGCCAAATCGCATCTTTACTCCTTTGAAGGAATTTTGCTCGTTTCTTGAGGTCCTTTTCTTTCAGATGATACGACTGCAGTTCTGGCAAAATGTTGGACTTGATGAACAACAGGGCGTTCGGCGTCAGCATGAGTAGCTGTATGTCATCTTCTGCGTAACTGAGGGGGTGGTTGTTCAGTACTATCTCAATTTCCTGGAGCACCTCAATGAGCTTGTCCCAGGATAGTTGACCTTGTCCCACTGTCTTGTAGAAGGCACCCTTCATAACCCTGATGAGTTGTTCAAACTTTCTGCCCCACCAAGGGGCGCGGCTCAAATTAAACTGCCAGGTTATTTTGTGAGTGCTGAGAAAGGTGTTAAGCCTTTCATCTTTGTGTACTTTTTCAACCAGTTAGCTGTGGCGATGAACGTTCTCCCCTTGTCGGAGTAAATCTTTGTCAGCCTCCCTCTTCTTGCTATCAAGGGTTTGAAGCTTTCGATAAATTCTCCCGTTTCCAGGCTTGGTAGCAATTCCAAGCATACTCCACAGGTCAAGCTGCAAGAATATATCACGATGTACGTCTTCTGTTCCTTCTTTGATTTCCGCTGCAGATACTTTACAGGTCTGGTGAAGTCTACTCCAATGACGCTGAAGGGATTGTCTCCTTCGGTTCTGTCCCTTGGCAGGGGTCCGGCTAGTGGGCGAGGAGCAGCCACGGCTTGAAACCTTTTACAGCCCCAACAGTTCCTAAGAACTCATTTGGTGAGTTTGCGAAGGCGAGGTACTGATTGGACTTCACAAACCTTCGCCATTGTAAGTCGCACTCCCCCGTGCAAAGTGGTTACATGGGCAGGCTGCACTACTTTGATGGTGTAAAGGGCAGAATCCGGCAAGAAAATGGGGTATTCTCCCTGAATGTGTCCCCGGCATTCCATCGGCGTTTCTCTGTAGGTTTAGCTGTAACTTGTCTTCTTGGAAGTGGTCGTCACTGATCACTTGTTGTTGCGCTTGTTTAATCCAGAAGGGTCTGCATGTGGTGATTTCCTGTGTCGACGGGAAGCCTTGGATCTTCTCCAAAGGGTGCTGGCAGTTGCGAATGAAACGTGAGACCCATGCGCAAACTCTGAGGGCTTTGTGTAGGTGAAACGTCTCTAGGACACGATCAAGGTCATCACTGATTTTGATTGCCGCCCGCAAAGATCTTTCTTTGAACTTTCCTTTCTGCATCACTTTGTTGGCTCACTTGCGTCACGATATCTTCTGGCCAGCTTGTTAGGTCTGCTAACCACTCTGGGCCTCTCCACCACAGCTGTAGATCTGTCACACTCGCACCGCGGCTACCAAGGTCTGCAGGATTCTCAGTAGAAGGTACACCATCGGCGTTTCTCTGTAGGTTTAGCTGTAACTTGTCTTCTTGGAAGTGGTCGTCACTGATCACTTGTTGTTGCGCTTGTTTAATCCAGAAGGGTCTGCATGTGGTGATTTCCTGTGTTGACGGGGGGCCTTGGATCTTCTCCAAAGGGTGCTGGCAGTTGCGAATGAAACGTGAGACCCATGCGCAAACTCTGAGGGCTTTGTGTAGGTGAAACTTCTCTAGGACACGATCAAGGTCATCACTGATTTTGATTGCCGCCCGCAAAGATCTTTCTTTGAACTTTCCTTTCTGCATCACTTTGTTGGCTCGCTTGCGTCACGATATCTTCTGGCCAGCTTGTTAGGTCTGCTAACCACTCTGGGCCTCTCCACCACAGCTGTAGATCTGTCACACTCGCACCGCGGCTACCAAGGTCTGCAGGATTCTCAGTAGAAGGTACATGACGCCATTGAGTGTTTGGATGACTTTGAATCTTTCGCACGCGATTTGTGACGAACTGACGATATTCTCCCTGGTCATGCAACCAGTCTAATGCAACGGTGCTATCCAACCAGCAGATTGTACCCTTCCGTGGTAAATGGGAGCCTGTTGATTGTTTTTCGCACCTTGAGATCCACAAATTCTTTGAGATAAGAAAACTTCATTATCGTGACCAGTTTTGTCAAAAGCCTCAGTGAATTGGTCCCAAAACGATTCCAGTCGAGGTATGTTCCATTGAATTTTGTAATAGTGCGCTTGGGAAGTTTAGCAGCGTTGCTAGTACCTTGTGTTTGTTTGGCGTCTTGAATCCTTGTGAGAATGGAATCTTGTTTATCTTTCTCTTCAAGCTCTTTGTGGTACCTGAATTTTCTCTCTATCAGCTCTTTCTCGAATTCGAGTTGCTCTCGTCTTGCTCAAAATGGCGTTGTCAACGAGCACGTTGGCTGCGATTTCTTCCTTTGAACTTGACACACGGGTTCGTTTTTTGCTCGGTTTTAGTGGAATTGCTCTTTAAAAAAGATACATGTTTAGACGAAAGACTTTTTACTCATTTGTTTTGGCAAACGCCATCGTAAAGAAGGCTTGTTCAGGAGAACTCAGAAAAGCATCTACTAGTACCAGTAGAATCATCTTTTGCCATAACTGATCAACCCATTTGTGGATTTATATTTTGAAGGGCCTTTTTCAAGTTCATTTCTGCAACAACAACAACAACAATACCTTTATTCGCCTTGTACTTAGTTAATTACATACACACATGAAAGAGAAAAAAAACAAAAAAATTATTTGTACTTAATAAGGCCTGGAGCTGAAATAATCCTAAGATTTTCTAGCCAGTTCTCCAGAATTTAAAGTTTTAGAGAATTGAGATAGAATTTATTTGCAAAGAAGCAGTTTTAAAGTACAATGTATTAAGAAAGAAAGAGTATATGCTTAAGTTATGTTAACTATGTTGTTCTGACAGGAAATAAGGTTTCAGTTGTTTTTGGAATTGGTATGTGTTTAGTTCTTTAAGAGTTATGGGAATTTTGTCCCAGATGGTACATGCAGCATATCCGATTGTTTGTTTCCCCGTATTAGTTCGCACTTTTTTGACGTAAAGATTCTGTTTCGATGCATATCTGGTATTGTATTTGTGAACATTACTGGCATATTGAAAATAGTTTGAGAACAGCTTTGGCAGGAGGCCTTTATGCCAGAGGTACGTGAATTTTAGAATCTGAAATCGATAAACATCATGTACCGTAAGAACGTCTAATAAATTTAGTAGGGGAGGTGCACTTTCTGTGTGTTCACCATAAGTGGTGGCAAAGAAAATAAGCCTAACAGAATGGTTTTGCTTAGCTTGTATCTTATCAACATGTGTTTTGTATGCACTCCCCCATGCTAATATTGCACAAGAGATATATGGTTCAAGTTCTGCTTGAACATCATGCACAGGGTTTGATCTTGCATCATACAACAAGCACTTCACTCCTTCCCTAGTTTTGGTATCATCCAACTTTGTTTTTGAAATGGTGACTTCCATTACCGGTTGAGCAGATATTTTGTCCCCGCGACCCTTCTTGTGCCATTTTTGAAGTTGGGATGTGCAAGCAAGATCTGGTTGTTCATCATCCTCCTGGCTCAAATCTGCTGTGCTTTTGCTGTCGAATAAACTAAACTTGCACTCTTTTAACATTATAGCAAGAACGTGATTACAATATCCTACTTTGCCAGCTTTGCACGAACAGTTGGCATGTATGACTTGGGCTGAGACAATGCACATGGTAAAACAAAGATCATGTGGAGCTTGACTTTTCCTGAAACTGTGATAGCACTTCGCTTTCACTTAAAAATACCTTTGGCCGCTGTTCGCTTCAATTTCCTTTAGGGACTCGTCCTTCAGAAATGTTTTTGCTTTCTTTAAATGGGTTAGAATTGAGTGATGCTCGGCATTTGTGACTCGCTGTCCAGAATTTGCCACGTGCTGGTTCATTTCAGCTCTCGTGAAACACGGCATCCTTTCAAGTGACTTTCCCCTTCCATCGCTTGCATATTTCACACTTGAGATAACAGGAGAGACATGATCATTTGGTACTGCACTCGAAAACCTTGCGTTTCTTCTCGTGTAAATTTCATCTGGATCAGGATCAACTAGCATTTCATCCCTTCCATTTTCAATATAGTCTTGGACTCTGTAATATAATCAAGAAATATTTCTCAACTGCATGTTTACGTAAACTCCAAACTGCATGTGATATCATCTCACGAATTGCAAATAGCCCTCACTGTTTTATGAGCTGTGCTTTCCTCTAATGTCCCTTGAGTGAATCACCTCGACATCTTAACCAAAACTTTAGCTCTTCATTTTTCAGTGAAGAAGGATTTCTGCCAGCCAAGGAAGCTCCAGGATTATCGTCCTCTGTGAGTATCACATGCGCAGTTTCATCAGAAGCTCTACTGGAAGACGCCATATTTTTTGTTTTGTGATCTGTGAACCGTGGCCTACCAAGCCTCACTTTCAGGCATTCGAATTCAGGCCATTCTGCGCGGCTGCATTTATGAATACGGTGTAAACTTGTGAGCTATGAGTTTACCTCCTCTAGGAAGGTCTCCAGAGCTACAGATGGCTGGACTGGTGGCTCCCAGTCCGACTTAACGTGGAAAGGATGAGGTTCGTTTTCTTCCCCGTGAAAAATATATTGTAGTCGCATTGGTCTCGCAAATTGATTGAAATCCGCGAGAAGCTGGCACCTGATAAGATTTTCTTTTGTCACAAGTGTAGGGATAAACTTTAGACCACAGATAGTAGAGTAATTTGCTCATCTGTCAGTTGTTCATGTGACAGGTTTTTGATATACTGTTTGTGTGACTCAATGGCGTTACAAAAGTGCTTTTTGTCTTTGATTTTTCTCCGCTCTTTTCTTTTGCCAATTTTGGCCTCTTTGTTATCTCTGTGGTTTGCTTTCCCTTTTCCTCTTACTTCTAAGGAGTCTGAAAAGAGACAAGAGTAAGATTCACTTTGTTTATTCGCACACACTTGTGATCTCATTTGTTCTAACAATACATCGACTTCGCTAATCTTGTTCTTCAACCCTTCGTCTAGCTCATTTACATTGTCATCTTTGTTGACAGTTCTTTCTAGCCACTGATTGCGTTTTCTGGTGAGATGCCGGCTTAGTTACAGTATTCCTGCAAGATTTATACTGTTCGAGTTTACGAAGCTTGTTTGTTAATCGTTCTGCATGCCTGTAGTGATATTTCACCAGCGCTCCTACGAGAGCCTGTTCTGCTTTCTTTCTGATCGAGCCCATCTCATTCTTAAAGGCCTCATCTGGCTCTCGTCATATATCTTCTTCTCTAGCCAGGGGTAGGGTGTGCGTCTAGGAAAACCACCCGTGGTTCTCCACTGGTGCAGGTACCAGAAGGACAAGCTCCTTAATTGACCGCAGGAACTTTTTCTTTGCACATCCTCTTACTATTTCCAATTGGGCCTTTCTTACTCGACCGTCTTCGCTTTCTATGGCTTCTGAAACTCTGCGGATGGGCCAGTCATTTCTGTAAGCTCCCTCTTTGACAAGAACTATGGCTCCCCTGTGTAGATTTCTCTTTCAGCTCCTCCCACCTCGTTCTGCTCTGCGTGCTCTGAAGGTTGCCTCCATCATATCCAGAATTCGTCTGTGAATTACTAGACACGTCTCCAGGGTCGTTGTGTGTAGACATCATGTGGAACAAAGTTTCACAGAATTTCCCACTTGTGATAGACAGTGTTCGCACAGTCTGGAAAAGTTCTTGAATTT